CAGCAGACAAATCAAATGGAAGGAGTTAAGGGAGAAGGAAGGAGGGAAGGAGCAAGAAGTCCAATGAAACACACGAAAGACATTTTACTTCCAAAATATACAAATTAACCAATGCTATTTTGGGAGTAGAGAGAGGGTAGAGCCAAGGAAAGATAACATAAGAAAAGGAAATGTGGGTAAGATGATCAATCCTCACTCAGAAACACAAACAGGAGGAGCATTGGAAGAAAGAAAACAGGAAACAGGGCAGGAGCCTGCCACAGAAGGCCTCTGAAAGACTCTACCCAGCAGTGCATCAAAGCAGATGCTGAGACTCATAACCAACCTTTGGGCAGAGTGCAAGGAATCTTATGAAAGGAGGAGAAAGTAAGACCTGGAGAGGACAGGAGCGCCACAAGGAGAGCAACAGAACCAAAATATCCGGGCATGGGGGTCTTTTCTGAGACTGATACTCTAACCAAGGACCATTCATGGATATAGCCTAGAACCCCTGCTCAAATGTAGCCCATGGCAAAAATCAGTATCCAAGTGGGTTCCCTACTAATGGGAACAGGGACTGTCTCTGACCTGAACTCAATGGCTGGCTCTTTGATCACCTCCCCCTTACCAGGCCACAGAGGACGACAATGCAGCCAGTCTGGATGAGACCTAATAAGCTAGGGTCAGATGGAAGGGGAGGAGGACTTCCCCTATCAGTGGACTGGAAAGAGGCTTGGAAGGAGATGAGGGAGGAAGGGTGGACTTAGGAGGGAATGAGGAAGGGGGCTACAACTGAGATACAAAGTGAATAATTAATATAATAAATTATATTAATTAATATAATATATTTTAAGTAATAAAAATTAAGTAATTAATATAACAAATTTTTAAATGTTCAGCTAAAATAAAATACATAGCTTTTTCAAAAAAAGGAAATCCTCACATTTTTCTTTTTATCTTCATTCTATTTATTTATTTATTTATTTATTTATTTATTTATTTATTTATTGTGAGTGTGTGCGTGTGTGTGTATGTGTGTGTGTACATGTGCCCATTTGCATGCCCCATTCACAGGACAACTTGCAGGAGTTCTCTCCTTCCACTTTGTAAGTGCTAAAGCTAAAACTAAGGTCATCACACTAACTTGACAACACGTATCTTTACCTGCTAAACCATCTCACTGCCCCAAGATAATCCTTTTTTGAAAATACTTCCTTTAAACTCAAAAACTGAAAGCTATGTGTTGTGATGCCTGCCTGTAATCCAGGAGGACTGCTGTTAGTTCAACACCAGACAATGGTTCTAAGATAGCCTGGGCTACAGCTGAGATCACACCAACCCTACCACTTTAGAGGGAGAAAATTATGGCCTGTAAGACTACATATCTCCCAGAATGTCTGCAAACTAAGAATAATTTGTACAGTTTTAAAACATTAAAATAACAACAAAGGATATGGATTAACTATGTTAGCCAGCAAGACCAAAATATTTACTATCCTTCCCTTTAACAGAAATGTCTGCCAACCCCTGCTGTACTTTACAGTGATATTTTACATCTCACTGAACTATCTCACTAAAAGTATCTTGGCAATTTAAAATTTACATGTTAAACTGGGAGGAGAGGTGAGGGGGCTGCAATCAAGATGAAAAGTGAATAAATAAATTTTTAAAAATTTACATGTTAAGGCCATTTATGTGAGTTTTCTTTCCATCCTTTCTTCCCTATCTAGTCATTTTTGTTTGGGTTTTGGTTTTCAAAACAGAAGGTTTCTCTGCTTCTTTGTGTAGCCTTGACATGGCCTGGACTTGATTTGTAGAGCAGGCTGGCCTCGAACTTACAGACTGCTGGGCTCACAGGCGAGAGCCACCATGCCTAGCTCTCCCTGACTAGTCTTTAAAGTACTAGCCAGTTTCTTTACAGAGAAACAATTCTGCAAGTATTTATTACAATATCCTGGTAAAACAAAAAGGGAGTGCTAACAACCCAAAATATTGGTCATGTCCATTTTTGTTTAAGCTTCTAGTACAAGCATTTTTTTTCCAACAAATTTAAGTCCCACATGGCTAAGCAAAGTTGGCCTCTGTTGAGCAAAGCCCAGTTTACTTCAGCTGCAGACAGACAAAATCAGGGAAGAAAGCAGACCACCAGTCCCCAGCACTAACTCGTTAAACTGACTAGCAGCAGGCTGCAATAACAAACATCTAACTTTTACAAGAACAAAACAGGTACGAAAGGACAACTCAGGACTCACTACATAATCCCGCATGTCAGAAAGATGCAGTAAGAGACAGAGAGACGGCTCAGTGGTTAAGAGCACTTGCTGCTCTTGGAAGAATAGGGTTCAATTCCCAGAATATGCATGAAAGTTCACAACAGCCTGTTACTCCAGCTCCAGGATTCCTCTGGCCCTCTCATAGGCAGCAGGCATACACAGGATGCCTACAGACACAAGCAGGGAAAACACTCAGACACATAAAACAAAAAAGTATAGTGACCCCATTTCACGACTTTAAAGTGTGGGGGTGGGGGTGCAGCAAGATGGTAACAGTATGATGGAACTCCCACAAGTTGTCCTCTGACCTCCACACATGGGCTATGGCATGCATAAAAAGTCCACACATATGCACACAAAATAAATAATGTATATTTTAATAAGACCTTAAAAAATAAAGTAAAACTCCAAACCTTCAAGAGCAAAGGAAATTATCTGACCCAGCAAGTATTAGGTAAGTATTAAGTAATAATACAGAAGTATTAAGAAAATCTGAAAGTCTGAGAAGTGGTACAAACCTGCAGGCCTAACATGAGAAAAGGACCGAGCTTTCATTTCAGCACAATTAGTCTTATAGACACACTGCTGAAACCATCTTCAGAGACAAGCAGTAAAGAATTAATCATCCTGCCTCCCTAGACTAGAATGGAAAAGCTAGAAGCCTGCTGTCCTTGGAACCAATAAAAACCTAAACACAGTTTCAATCAAAACTTTGAGACCATTAAGTGATTTAACATCTCTAGAAAAACTCAAAATTCAATACTCTCATCTAATGAAAGCATAAATTTGAACTACCATGTAGAATATGACTAGCTATAATGTATCTTTCATTAGCAGAAAAATAATTCTTTATTAAAGTCCATTATTTTAAGGAAGTCACTAATCAGTATCACTTTGATACAATGAACCCACTCACATTTCCTATACGGAAACTAACTAGAAATGAAACTTATTTTTCTATACCAACTGAGTCCCCAACAGTTAAGCTCCCAAAATGTACACCTACAAACTTCAGATTGTAAAGACATACAATATTTTTTCTAATTTTTTCTGTCAACACATGGATCTAGGCAGCACTTAACAGACTGAGGCAGAAGGATTGCTATGAGTTCCAGACTGGCCTTCGATACACAGTGAAAGTTTGTCTCAAAAAACAAACAAGGGTTCATTCCTCAGCATCTCCAGGCAGCCTCCGTTATACTGGGGCTGGAGGGATTGTTAAGAGCTCTTATTGCTCATGCAGAAGACCGAGGTTCGATTCCTACCACCCCTCTGGTGGCTCGATTCAGTTCTGGGGGATCCCACATCTGTACTCCGGGGCACTGCTTGCATGTGGTGCACTGCCATACAGGTGCACAAAACACCCACAAACAAAATAATAAAACAAGGTAAGTTTAAAAGAAAAAGAAAAAGAAACAAGATATCAGCACACCTTTACGGCGGTTTTATAATTTCCAAAAATAAAGACAGTTCCAAAATACCAAAATAATCAACATACTTATGTCATTAATTACGATACCAATTGGGACCAGGGAGGGGAGGAGCTCCCACAATTCAAATTACTTAAGGTAGGGAAAATCAACCCTGGAAAAGTGGCTCTGAAACCACTGGTACGCAGTGCAAGAGTGTTAATTCTCACACAGGACTTGTTAAGCATTTATATAGCAGTTACATTGGCCAAGTGCTTCCTAATAACTTTATTGGCTGTTTCTAGTCCAAAACAACCCATGGAGAACTTTACAGAAGAGGAACCTGGGCCCAGAGAGGAACCAAAGAAAACCAAATTTACCCTGGAGGAAATAACACCATTTACTTACACGCCAGATCCTCCTAATCACATTTATCTGCAGTAGGAATTTTGAAAAATTAATGACTACGGTAAGAATCAAGGAAACAATGCATTGAGTTCTAACTCAGTTAAGAGACTGTGTTCACCTCTAAGTATTTGAGCCAACTACAAGACTACATTATACAGACACTATAAGGAAGTAAGATTCTCTCGAATGACAGACTTAAAGGGCTAAACCCCACCCCACCCCCGCGCACCTGATTTTAAAATGGTTATCAAAGGGGTCCTGAAATAACTGGCAGGTAGGCCCGTTACAAAACACAAACATTACAGCCCAGCCAAAGCAATGAGGACAAGAAGGAAGTTCTGTCGAAGTCAAGACTGCAATTTAGCACGCTCAGTCACTCCCCACCTTTCGAAAGATAATGGTTCTAACCAGAACTTGTGGTTTAACCAGTGTCTCTCAGCAGCAGCAATGGATTACATCCAACACTTTGCAAAAGACTACAAAAAACTTAAGCCATCCTGAGCGATGAAGGGAAGTTCCTTCCCTGCCCCCATTTAAACCCACCTCTTTCCTTTGATCTTCGCGTTACATCTTAATGAGGGAAAAAAAAAACAAAACTATAAGCTCTCGCAGACCGCAGTCAGCCCGGCCCCAGGTCCCTCACCCAGGGCGACTCCTCTTCCAACCTGAAGCCCTAGCCGGCTGGTCCAGCACACATCCCTCAGGCCCACCTCCAGGGGCCCGCTCGGCGACCCACATCCCCAAGCTCCGCACCCCCAGCGCACTTCCGCCCGGGTGGCGCGGTGACCAGCCCTCCCCCAGCCCCCACCCCATCTTTGTCTGGCTCCCCCACACCTCAACGTCCCCAACTGCCAACGGCAGCCTCCTTCCCCTCCCTCCCTCCCCACCGCCCACGCCCACCCGGCGCGGCGCGCGCCCGCAGGCCGCTCACCTTGTCCATGAGCTTCCAGCACTTCTCCACCATCTTCTTGTCCACCGTGCCGGGAGGGTGCGGGCTGAGGTGGTGGTGGTGGTGGTGGTGCGGCTGAAAGGCGTCCTTCATGAGCCCGATCAGGCCGCCCGCGCCCGAGCCCCCAGAGCCGCCGCCGCCCGCGCCCGAGCCCTTCTTCACGTTGCCGGCCATGGCCAGCGGAGGGTCGGGAGCCCGCTCGGCCGCGAGCGAGGGAGAGGAGCGGGGCGAGAAGGAGGGGCCTCTCCGGCAGCCACCGCCGGCGCTCGCCGCCGAGGGAGTGAGAGGGAGGCGCCCGCCCAG